CCCTTCCCGGCAAGGCAGCCCACGCAGCGGACCGTGCGCGGCAGCAAAGGAGGTTCCCCCGAGGCTGAGGCAACTTGCTTGTTGTATACCAGGTCTCCTGGGCTGCCTCCAGCCACCTCTGTCTTTTCTCTGTTAGCAGAAAAGTCCCCGTGACCCGTTTTAGTGTATTTTTGCTCCTCAGAGCATCACAAACTCATGTTTTGGAGGCGTACCAGGAGTGGGGCGTGACTGGGAGTGGCGCATGGGCCCTGCTCAACCCCAGCCCCGGTGCGCTTTTGTCCATCACAATTTTCTGTTCTGTGCAGGGAACACACTATGAGCCTGGGCTTGGTCTCTTTCCAAGAACTGCTAGACTCATAACCACAAAAGAACACAATCTATTGGTGTAGCTAGGTTTTTGAAATGTGCTTCTCATACAAATGTGAACTTTAATACCAGTCTTAATTTGAGATATCATAGTGGTGTGTTGATAGCTATGTAAAATGTGCTTATAAATGCTCTCAGTTCTGGCTGTATGTTAAAGCAAAAGCATTGATTTTGTAAATTATCTGCAGTGCGTGAAATATACTCTTGAATACTATTGCTTCAGTGTCATAAAGCAGCGATATTTAGGGTTTTACTAAAATAACTCAAGGCAAACAGCTACTTTGATTTATGTATGAATGACTTTTTTTGGTATGAAATTGTAACAGAATTACCAAATCATAAAGCACTTTTCTGGAAGCTGGATTTCAGATAACATTTTATTTCACATAACAATTCAAAGTAACGTGTCCCAAATATTTTTAGCCCCATTATTGCCTTGGTATGCTTGGTTCTTACTTGCTTGTTTTGTTTCTGACAGTTGAGAGTATTGATTTTGCACTTAATACCAAAGAAACCCTTCAATAGGAAGGTAGCCATGTAAGAGTTATTTTTTTGGCATATTTATCAACTGATTAAAAAGAAGCTGATTGTAATGTTGTATAGGCTCTATACTGGCGTGACTCCAGGTGTTTACTGAATGGAGGCACGTAGGCAGCTTTGACTTAGTGTACAGGCTACTGATTTTTCACTCCACGATCAGTGGTTTCATCTTTTTTCCCTGTACTTTAAGGGTAGTTGAGTAAAAGGCATCAGCATAATTTATAACTTTATGTTACTGAAGCCTTTCATGAAGATTTTTATATGTTCTTCCTGTTCTAGTTTCGCGTACACCATACACCTGGCTTGTATGGCTGTAGGGCTTTTAAATATCAGGACACGAGTCTGCATTTTGTGTTTCGTTTTGCGTAAAGTTCTGTTCCATAGGCCATGTTTCTGAATGTGGTGTGGGAGTTGTAATTACTGAGCAGTCCATTTTCCATTCATGTATTATTTCTCTATTATTTGTATGGTTTGTGTGTACTTAGCATCTCTGTATTCCTCAGTTGATTTATCGTCACAACAGCTCTTGCTGTGATGATATATAAGGAAATATATTCATCTTGGTTTAATGTTTTAAAAGTTGAATTTTAGGTATGCAGCATGGATTTTACTATGCATATTCTAACTAGGATTACACACACCCCAAAATTCTAAAGATGGGAAAATGGGTTCAGAATCTGTATGACAAGCTGATGTCACAGGCAATATACACTCTCATAGGTAACAAGCAACGCCAGCTGACTGAGTCAGGTGCCCGAACACCTGTAGGGATGTTATACACTAAGCGTATTTACTAGCTGCCGGAAAGGATTTAAAGACTACAGTGCTCAGAATTGAGTTATTATTTCTGGGTGCCTTTGAGATGAGGATCCATAACCCTTCAGTAAGTAAAAAATCTTTCTTGCACTGAGGCGAAGAGACAGTTTGGAATGGGGTTGAGGACATCCCTAAGGCTGAGAGAGTGAACAAGTCAGTACACTGAGGGAATGCTGACGTTAGGAAGTAATGAAGGCCAATACTGTTGGATTTATAGAGTGAAATGGTTGGATTCAAGACCTGATAAGCATTTTGGAGGGTTTTTACTTTGGGCTAACAGAATAACCCCTAGCAAGTGGTTGGAGCACATTAGGTGCACTCCTGGATCGTGTCTTTTGGTTAGTTTCATCCAAAATTCAGTTCATGTGCTTTGAGATCTCTCTGCGAATCAAGGAAGGCACAGTAAGTGGGGACAATTGGGAGATTCACCTCAAAACTACACTCCTTACCTGAACTAAACTGTTCACGTAGACACAGCCTGAGAAGGCAGTTGCCTGAAACTACCCAGCTGAGGAAATTGAGTCGGGAATACACCTTAACATTTGCTGTTCTCTGGGTTTGCCTTAGACTAGAAGCATCCTTGCCTGTGAAATTTGCTGCTTGCCTCTGAAGATAGGTGTCTGTGAAGTTCTAGAAGCCAGCTTCTGTATTAAAAAGCTGCTAACGATCCGCGATCTCCTGCGGTGTTGTAGAGGTTAAAGAACAGAAGTTGTTCCAGAAAAAGGAAGGAAGGATTGCATGGAGCCCAGACAAAAGTTATTCAAGAGGATTTCTGCTAAATGATAGGAGCAACTGGGTGTAAGGTACTGCAACCAACTCTTGATTAATGTCACTAGTTAATGCAGCTTGCACTTACAAAGTTATATCCTTGCTCACCTTTCTCCACTCCCTTGAATAATTTTCTCACTACCTCCCTTTACATCTCCTTCTTTCGTACAGGAATGAGGAGGTTTTTTACAATGTCTTGTCAACAGAGTTTTTACCAAGCCAGCCTGGAGGGGAAAATTCAAAGCACAGGCGACCTCTACCCAGTGGTCTGTGTCTTCCTAAGTATTTGGGAAGAGAGGGGTATGAAAGATGGCAAGGATATCTGTCAAAGCCTGACCTTCTTGAACTTTGAGGTTCAAAATTATTTACATAAGGACTGACAATAGATAGAAGTTTCTGTTAGGCGTATCTAACATTTTTAGTATTTCTCACAGAAGCAAGAAACACAGCATCTGTCTTTTTATCTTCTCAAATCCTTACTACTCTGTCATATTTCTTATATATTATTCCTCTGATCACTTTTACTACAGTAAAAATTGTATACTGCACAGTTTATTGCATTAACTTAGAATACTCTCTTTTATACTAACCACCAGAATACATGTTTATTGCTGAAATGTATAAACCAGCATGCAAACACGATAAGAATATTACATTACACAATACAGCTCATTCCTTAAAGTTAGCATCTGTATTCTAGGCTGAAGCGTTATCTTTTTTTAGTAGTAGTTATAAATGTTTTACAGTTTATGTTTTTGTTAACAGCTAACTGTATTTTAGCATTTGCTAATGAACCTTCATTTTAGAAACAGAGCGCAACTTGAATTTTCTGCAGTGATTTATGTAATGCAAGTTACTGAAGCTACTGCAGTAAAAGAACATTGTAAAATTTAGTGTGTAGGTCCTGAATTCATGATCTACAAAGTGGAATCCTTTTCAATGTAGTGCAATGCAACAAGCATGGCGACATCTTCTTAATAAAATTACGAAATATTTTTTGTTTTTCTTTGATCCCTGCTACAATAGTAACTTCAAACATCTTAAACCCGACATTTTTTTGCTAAACTTCTGTTGCAAGCTCATGTAATTTTTGTCATTTGTCTTGGTTTGTTGGTTGTTTGTTTGGGTTTTTTTAGCTTTTTCATGGTCTTTAAAGCAATAAATTTATTTGGAAAACAAAAAAAGAGAACACCTGTAAGGGAACTTTTTAATTATCTAAAAATGAAGATAATGTGATGCTTGAATTAAAATAATTTCAGGTATATTTTTAGCTTGTTTGATTCCTGGGTATCACAAACATTACTTCATTTGAAATTTTCAATCTTTTTTAATTACAAAGCCGTATCTGCTCAAAGTCTTGGAGGCTTTTAATTTGACTTCTATATGTAAACGCACCGAATATTTTTTTCCCTTAATGTCATAAAAACATACTGAGCTACCTTTAGGTGACTATCTAGCATGAACTATAAAGAAAAAGAAGGGACAGATGTACAGAGCTTGAAAACAAATAAAACCCATTCAGTTTCATCTTGTGATAATTTTGGCCTGCATGACTTTCTGAAGACACCGAAGGTGAGTGGAAAGCTCAGACGATAACTTCCGAACCATGCCTTAGAATAAAGATCACTTGTCCTGATTTTTCTCAAAGTATGATGAAATTCACTTTTGAATTTTTCAGGACTAACTACTTTAAGAAACAAGTACTTACTTAGACAGCCATGGCTTTCATTTAATCATTAAAAAATGTTAATCATTAAAAAAAAGGAGTGAGGTAAGGCCTATCTATGCGTAAAGGAAGCATCTAGGACACATTAGCACTAATTCAATTATAATCATCATATTGGAATATGCTGCAGCAGACACTTCAGCAGCTAAAAAAAATCTTCAAGCTATGTTGTTTGGTACATTTCTCCTTCTAGAAGCGTATATTAATTAATGCTCCATTGCAACAATCACATCTCTCCAACGTATTTATCATTTGGCATGAGGCTCCCCAGAGGCAGTAGGGGGCGCTGCAGAAAGGCCTTTGTAGGCTGCATTTTAATCAACATTTATCTTCTAAAATATCTGTTGTGGCAATGCAAGACCATACCGATGCTAACATTTAATAGCATACAAGAACTTAACCATGTAAATGGGTATTGATGTAAGGTACAACGTAGACATTCATTTTATAGTAAAACCGGTATAATTATTTTTAGCAAGTGCAGCAAATGACAAAACGCAAAGTAAATCCTGCCTTAAATCACAAGAGTTCAATTTCCATAACAGCTGACAGAACTTGTGCCCGCAAGACAGAATTCAATAATGATCACAGCTGTTGCTGTTGTTGAATTGCATAAGGTAGAGTTCAGAACGACTAGCTGAGATTATAGCCATATTGAGGCACGTGCAGTGAAAGAGTAAAGAAAGGAAGAAATCTTGTGTCGGAGATCCTGGCAGAAGAATAATGGGTGTGACAATATGGGCACAAGAAGGTGAAGGTTGAGATTTTCATCCAGCATTCATGTGACAAACGACTAGGCCCTTTGTGACACTGATAGCTAAAACTCATTTTGCTACGAAAGTCGTAATTCTTGTACTAGGTCGGATCACAGGTCCATCCAGTGTAGTATCCTGTTTATGGCAGTTGCAAGGAAGAGTGCTTAGGGAAGGGTTCAAGGACAGAGCATTTACCAATAATGTGGTGACTTTTTTTTTCAGTTTTTTTTTTCTACACTCCAAAAATTTTCCAATTTAGAAGTTTCCTGAGCTGGAGATGATGCCTATACCTTTCATAACACTTCATGGATGTCTCTTCCATTAACCTGACCAGTTGCTTTTTGAATGTGTTGGGAACCACAGCTTAGTTTCTTATACTATGAAGAACCAATTCAGTTTGCTTGTTTTCAACCTGACATCTGCCAACTTCATCTGCCGTCCCCACTGCTTGACTTGCAAGAGGCAATGAACTGTCAGTCCGTAGTCATCCTCTTTGTGTCAATGATTTAAGAGAAAAATGTCTTGATGTCCGCTTAGCTATTTCTTTTCTGAGCTGAATAATCCTCTGCGGGTAGTTTCTACAATGTCTTAGTCTTGTGGCAAGATAATCAGAATCATAAAGTGGCTCATGTTCTTGCATAAAGATGAGAGTATAAGTTCTGCTCTGTTCTCTTTTTCTGTTATTTTCTGGTACTCTCTTTTGACTACCTCTGAACACTGAAATGAAAATTTGCATATATTATCTATGATAACAAAATATGACTCCTGGGATGTAATGATCAACTCAAAGCTCATCTTTGTATACAATTATTTCTCTGCACCCCTTGTCTGTATCATTTTACGTTTATCTACCCTGAGCTTATCTGAAATTCTTTCAGTCCCATAAATAACTTACTATCAGCAGCAAAATTTTCCACTTCCATGTTCCTCTCCTTTTTCAAGTCATTGATGAGTACCTGGAACAGCAAGAGTCCCGTGAGATAAGTCTTTGAGATTCCATGGGTGACCCCACCACTGTAACAAATTTTTGTTTAGTCTTGAAATTTTTAAAAAATATTTTTGTGAGGGTATGTGGAAGGGAAATGTCTGCTCCTCTAAGGGCATCCGGTCAAGAACCTTTTCAATGCAAAAAGGGAGAGCAAGAAAAGGAGGAAGCCATAAACAAGAACATAAAGAGACACAGACCTGACTGACAAATGGTAAGGGAGGCAGTGATGAGACACAAACCCAGTCAGTCACACTAATTGATGAGGAAATGTTTATTTCAGTAAGATCACCTGGTCAAAGGTCTTGTAAAATATGATACCAAGAAAGAGTGGGAAGCCATAAACGAAATATGGAGACACAACCTTGACACAGAAACATGGTGGCAACAAAGACAAGAAACAAACTGGCTCTCAATAAACTGCAGGGCTTTGCAACTGATAAGGATGCAAACCTGAGGGTGCAGAACGTTGGAAAGGGACCCATGGAGCTATGCAAACTAATGAAGGAACGTGCAGGGGAAGGGCATCTGGAGGAACAAAGGGAGAATAGGCAGAATGGGCTATAAAACAAACCAGTCACGTAAAAGAGGGCAGTCAGTACACTTGTCTGCCTGAGCCCAGCACCTGATCACCACAGTCGTTTTCTTAAGTCTTCCCTTAACTCCTTCTCTTTGTAATCTCACTATCTATCCCATGTGTATGTGTGTTGTAAAGATGAAGTGCCAGCTACTGAGGGTCCTGTGTGAGTGGATTTGGTACCAGCAAACTGAGTCAGACTGGCAGTGTAGGTGCCCCAGCCTGTGGTGTCAGCTGCTGGAGCTGGTGAGGTCTCAGTGTCAGCTGCTGGAGTGGGTGGAGGTCTCCGCTGTTGGCTGCTGAGGTGGGAACAGTGTGTGTCCTGAAAACCTGCTGCTGTGAGGAACCGGTGTGGATGAGGCGAGCGAGGGGCTTAGCGCCAGCAGCTGGAGCAGGACCGCAGGTCACAGCTCGTGTGCCTGATGCTGGCTGCTGAGGCGGCGAGTGCCAGTATCTTCCCCAAAGTGGGTGTGCATGTCTCACTCGCTGGCAAACTTCAAGCTGGACTCGCTGGTGAGTAGGAGACGCTGGGTCCAGGCAGGGGTATCAGGCAGGCAAGGATCCATGCTGTTATCCAGGGTGACCTGTGAGTGTGGTGTGCCTGCAGGATGAGTACGAATGCTACGTGTTTGCAGCAAATATCAAGCTGGACCAGCCAGCAATTAGGCAGCCCCTGAGGCAGGTAAGAGGGCTGAGATCTGGGCAGGGGTACTGGGCAGACAGAGGGGCCACGCATGTGCTCGTGCATCCAGAGAGTCTCGTGTCTGTGCCTGCACGAGTGACCGTTTGTCTCTGCCAGCCCCAGAGGAGGAGGGGACGTGGCTGCCTGTGCTTGTGCTAAATGGGGGTCCGGTGTGTAGGCACCACTGAAGGCAGTGCCTCAGCTGTGGCAATGCGTGTGACCAGCCAAGTCAGTGTCCTGCACATGTCGGTGTGCGTCTCTCTAGGCCACGTGCTCAGCTTTGCTGCTGGCTGAACCTGCAAATGGGAAGGTGGCAGCCACATCCCCCTGCCTGAGCAGAGACCCCGGGTCCCCTGGCTCTGGCCTGAGCTCCAGCATCTGGGCAGGAGGGGTCCTGGGCTGGAGCTGCAACAGGTGACAGCCACCCCTAACGTCCATTAACATTTTTTAGCCATAAAAAGACTGTTTCTTTTCCCTCTATGGTGGCTTAATTTATTTAAGAATTTTTGATGAGGAACTTTGTGGAACGCTTTCAGAAATCCAAATAACTGGAAGATCAGCTGTATTCCCTCATCTTCATGCTTGCTGACTCCTTAGGAGGTCTCCAGTAGTTCTGTGAGCCATGACTTGTCTTTACAAAAATCATACTTCTCAATATATCATATATTCCAAATCTGTCTGCGTTATTGTCGTTTCCACTATTTGCAACATGCAGAGGTGAGTTTTATCAGTCTGCCGTTTTCTGGATTTTCATCAGAAGTATTTTCAAAAATTTCCAAAATGTTTATCACCTTCAAGTCCATTGTGCATAGGAGGCTTAAGAAAAATATCATATGGGCCCTGCATATTTTCTTCCTGCTCTTGGCCTTTAAAAAAAGTATTATTTTTAGTGTCTACAGTTTTTGCAAATTAATGCTCAAGCTCTTTTTTGGCCTGCCTTCTTGTGCTTTCACATTTAACCTGCCAGATTTTGTGATCCTTTATAATTTACTCATTTGAACACGACTTTAGCTTATTAAAAGGTTCCTCCTTGTTTGTAGCAACTGCCCTTTTCATTCTATCTAGACATGCTGCCTTCCTTTTGCCATTTCTCAGGCCCTTATGAGAAACATGAATAGATAAAGATGATGTGCTATGTTCAAAGTGGTGTCCTTACATAGCCTTCCATCTACCTGAAAAACTCAAACTCATGTACTTTTTAGTGCTTTTCTAACCTTTTAAATTCTTTTTAGCAAGTTGTCCTGGTTTCGGCTGGGACGGAGTTAATTTTCTTCCTAGTAGCTGGCCTAGTGCCGTGTTTTGGATTTAGTATGAGAAGAATGTTGATAACACAATGATGTTTTAGTTGTTGCTAAGCAGTGCTTACACCAGTCAAGGACTTCTCAGCTTCCCCTGCTCTGCCAGGTGACACAAGAGGCTGAGAGGGGGCACAGCTGGGACAGCTGACCCAAACGGGCCAAAGGGCTGTTCCATACCGTATGGTGTCATGCTCAGTATATAAACTAGGGGAAGAAGAAGGAAGGGGGAGACGTTTGGAGTGATGGTGTTTGTCTTCCCAAGTAGCTGTTAGTGTGACGAGGCCCTGCTTTCCTGGGGATGGCTGAACACCTGCCTGCCCGTGGGAAGTAGTGAATGAATTCCTTGCTTTGCTTTGCTTGCGCACGCGCAGCTTTTGCTCTCCTTATTAAACTGTCTTTACCTCAACCCACGAGTTTTCTCACTTTTACCCTTCTGATTCTCTCCCACATCCCGCTGTGGGGGAGTGAGCGAGCGGCTGGGTGGTGCTGAGTTGCTGGCCGGGGTTAAACCACGACACAAGTTTTCTCTTTTTTTGTGTGTGTATTTTTAAGTTATTCCTTGGTTCTGGTAGTCAGAACCAAGTAAAAAGTTACTTCTTATCCTGGAGGATTCTACACTAACTTCTTAATATTATACATGATTTTATTCTTTAAAAAAAAATTGTAAGAATCCTAATTTTATATTGGTCTATAAACCCTAATGAAAAGAAAGAAAAAACTTTGCTAGAGTGCATGTGAGGGTTTTTTTTTGCCAGAACTTGGAAGTGCTGTGCTGTGTAAGTAAAAGCTTATTTCTGATTGTTAGCCATAGCCCAACATACATATGTTCTGTTAAATATAGCATATGTGTTAAATATAACATATGCTAAATGCCATACATAATACGTAATATAAATACTATATTATATAGTATGTATAATATTATACATACACAGTAATATACATGCGCTCAATATATAGTATATTGTGTATGCTGTATATTATATAATGTATAATATGTGATACATATATAATATCTTCTACATGTTTATTTGTAGGCCTGGCTATACAAACTCCATTACCTATGTTTTTTATTGTGTAGTTTGTTGAGATTCCAACGTCCATTCTTGAAAGTAGGCTATATATAGATACATCCCTCCACACAGAGGGACCAGGGTAACACTGCGCTGTAGAACAATACTGAAGCTTCTCTGAGTAGCAAATCCTGTCATGCCCTGTTACTTTCGGGCTGCCATGCCTGATCGGAATGAGCCAGAAGACATTAGCTTACCACCTTGCTCCTTACAAAGCCATCCTACGCAGCTTTTCTCACGTTTGACTTGATCTCTGACACAAGCAGCTCTTCTTTCTGTAGGTGAGATCGTCTGAATTGTTCTCCTAGTCATCAACACTGAGATGAAATAAGGATTTCTTCTTAGATAGCAAAGTATGTCATCCCTTTTCCACATCAGGTGCTGGATCCTTGGGATCCATTTCCTGGAACACAGACAGGCATCTTGGGTAGCTAGACCAGGCAAGTGGCTTAAGAGGATAGGCAGACTAGGTTTAAGAAGTAACTCTCATTAACTTTGCAGACCACCAGTGGTGCACAGAATGCATAAACCTCTCCCTAAGTAGTATTCTGATGAAATGGAGTAACTGGAGGAAGCAACTACTCATTTTAAAAGTTAGAAGGCCAAATAAATGCTCACAATTTAATGCAAAGGGGGAAATAACATCCCCCAGTACCTCCACTACTAGCAGAGAAGACTGCATATGTGAAGTTCAGTAATTATTAGAGCAATTGGCCTGAACTGAGACCTTCGGGAGGACGAATGAGGTGCTACATATGTAGTGTGCAAATTAAAAAGTACATTTTCCTCAAAACCCTCATGTGTAAAAATGTAAATGATGGCCTACAGGTGCACTTGTTGAGAATTACATGGGGTTATTTCCAATTTTTTTCAATACAGAATGTTCTGTGTGTTGGACTTAGTGACATCTCCCTAACAACAGACTAACAGATAAATAGCAACGTGACATCTGAAGATAGGGTCCTTTTGCTGTGGTGATGATTTGGGCTGTCGTGACTGAAAAAGAATCTCAGCAATCACGCTAATTGCTCTTTAAGTGGCCGTTGCCCAATTCAGATAAAACAAAGGGAGGTGGATGACAACTGCAGGAAGGTTGGTCACCAGCAATCTATGTTTGTCAGGACTGAACCTGTTTTTTGACCGAATCATGAAAATGCCCCCACCCAGATCCAAACCCGAGGTGTTAAAATTCCTCCCGCTCGGGAGGAGACGGAATCCCCAGCTCTCTGTGAGCCCACCTGAGTGCTTCGACTCCTTAGCAGCCACCGTGAGCTCATGCCCTGTCCACGCGTGGGCTGGAGGCTGCTCCCCGCGGGGCGGCCCGGCCCGGCCCGGCTGGGGGGGCTCAGCAC